TTACTTTTTTTCTGAAAATACAGAATTAACTACCATAATATACTGCCAACTCTCACTTGCTTTATTGGAATTATTCCTTTTATGGATTATCCAAGGATATTTAAAAATCAGTGGCTTCTGCATGATATTTAGACATACATCTGTATTTTTATCTTCAAGTAAATACATTCTCAAGAAATACAAAGAAAACTGGGCACTTGCTTAAGCATAAGCATAATTAGGAAGATTATGCTTAGGAAATGTACCCAAAGGAATACATAATTTTGCATTACTGTTTCTGTAGATTAAAAAAAACTTGTATTCAAAGTACTAGTATTTGAAAGTAACAAATTATACTACTTATATACAGAGAAAAGACATAACTAAACTATATTATTTCCAACCCCAAAAGAAGAGGAAACTTCCTGGTAATTTAAAAGTGGTTTTCTAGCTGCAAAGTGCTAAAGAAGTATTCAAGAAAAACTTCAGGCTCGTACTGATATGCCAAGAATGTGAGAAACAAAAGAAGGTAAAAGCCCTCATCACTATAAAGTCTGTTTTAACTATATTTACAAAGAAGTGAAAGCAGTGGTTGCAAGACCAGTTAAGGCCAAGTTAGCAACACGCAACTTACCCATCAGCCCACATTTCTCTTCAAACTAGCTAACCATGTATGTTTCATAATTTGATCATATTTTAGAGAAGGATATCATCTATAATCACATCCGTTGTCCGTAACACACAACAAATAGAAATTATCCTTTTGTAACAAAATTCTTAATACCTGGCATTCTCTGCAAACCAAAAGCTGACCACAAAGTTATATTTTATTCCTATTAAAAGTGTTGGTACATGTTCCTTAGGAGATCTTAGCTCATTTTTAGATTTGTGAAAACTGGTGTAATTTACTTTGGCCCTGTAAGATAAAAGTATCTTGGTATTTAATGACTGAATGCCTCTTTTGTTAAAACTTGACCCTGAGTTTAAGTTCTAGAATATAAACTTAAAACTAAACCACTCCAAAATACACTGCCTAATATTGGTGTTTGTATAATACTGTGCTTTTTTTCTCTTCATTACCACAGTGCATTTGAAAGTAGCTCCCCTTCAGCAATGGAGTAAGACGAGTGTACTAGAATACCCAACATAAGGAAGCAGGAAATATCCTGTCTAAAGTAAGCATTTACTCCAAAATACATTTATTTAAAGTATAAAAATGTTATTTCCCTAGTTCTCTTAAAATTGACAGTGTATGAAGTGCAGCATTTTCACCCTGCAGGTAGAATAGCTTGGGGTGGAAACTCCCATAATCCCTGGTTTAATAAACAGCAAAAATCTATAATTCTGACAATACAGTTCTAAGTATTGTTTTGGAATTTTTTTTAATTTCTAGATATTGAAAGCAGCTCTACATTCTTTTAAAATATTCACTAAATATAAAATTAAAATTAATAAGTGAATAGGAAATAAAAGCCATTTCCAGTAGTAACAAATATTCTCACAGTAGCAAATAATCTAGTATCTAGTTTTTCCTATGCCAGTCTTACAGTTGAATCCCTAAAACACCATTTTTAACAGTGCAGTTTGCCTAAATTATATAAAGAAAATTATATCAACTAACACTGAAATCGTAAAAGAAGTTATTAATAAAAATACAAGCTTTTTAAATTCTCCACTGGGTCTCTACTACAGCAAAGGACACATACTGGTTGGGGTTTTATTTTGAAGATTCTGTTTCTAGACCAAATACTGTACTTCAAAATATAAAATATTGAAGCTTGCTTAAATTATGCTTGAGACCTAGTTTACGCAATTATGTAATTTCTACTTATGGCATTAGTAATTAGGGTATATCCAGCTCTGAAAAGCACTGAAGTTCTTCGTGTGAGCAACAAACACTCAAAATCCCGAGAGCTGTACTGA